TTGGGTGATGAGTCTTTTGATACGGTGCTGGATAAAGGAGCTCTTGATGCTTTAATGGAGCCTGAAGTTGGTACCAAGCTGGGGAGTCAATACTTATCAGAGGTGTCTGCTCTGTTCTTCTTTTTACAGATTTTTTTTCATCAAAACAATTGAAAGTTTTTAGCTTTTATTAATGCTTTATACATTTTTTCTCAGGCCAAGCGTGTTTTGAAACCTGGGGGGAAGTTTATCTGTCTAACGTTGGCAGAGTCTCATGTGTTAGGTAATTGCCGAACCTTAAGTTTTGTGATTCATTAGGTGAAGTGTTTTTCATGGTTATTGAAATTCTTGGTGTTTTCTGCAGCGTTGCTTTTCTCAAGTTTTCGTTTTGGTTGGAAGATGACTGTTCATTCAATCTCTCAGAAACGTTCGAGTCTCAAGACGTTTATGGTGGTGGCTGAAAAAGAAAAGTCCATTGTTTTGCATGAGATAACTTCTTCTTTCGATCTTTTATCTCTTGGCGGCAACAATAGCCAGGTAAGATCCTCATTAACCTTCTTCCTCTTGAAATCTTCTGTAATGTAATACATGGTTTTGGATTATTATTATTCTAGGGTTCTGGTATGTGTGAAGCTCTTGAAAGTGAGAACCAGATACGTAGAGAATGCAACAATGGATCAGACTTGTTGTACTCTCATGAAGATTTGAAACTTGGGGTTAAAGGGGATTTAGCAGAGCTTACTGGAGGTCGTCGTGTAAAGTTTACTTTAGGTGGTCAAGGAAGCAATTTCAGCTACAGGGCCGTGCTTCTTGATGCTCAAAAGCAGACCGAGCCGTTCGTGTATCATTGTGGTGTTTTCCTTATCCCTAAGGTAACTTTTGTCAACAGTATGACTGTATGAGTCTCTTCAGTTTAAATTCGCAGAAACTGAATTATTTCGATTGAACTACTAAAAGGATTGTTGAAAATTTTCAGACTCGTGCTCATGAGTGGCTGTTCTGTTCAGAGGAAGGACAGTGGCAGGTTGTCGAGAGTTCGAGGGCCGCTCGTCTCATAATGGTAAGCTCTAGATGATAAAGCATATCTAGGTATGAGAATCTGAGCAAATATTAATTTCATTGTGTAAGGTTTATCTGGATCGTAGCCATAATGGCGTCAGCATGGAGGATATCCAGGTACATTGTGCATACAAAGTTGTCTGTTGCATTATGTTCTTTTCTTACTAGTTAATTATATATTGTAACCCTTTTTCTCCTCAGAATGATTTATCTCCCATGGTGGCACAACTAGCTCCTAGAAACGATGATGAATCAGCTCGCATTCCGTATGTTCATTTTTCTTATTCCTGAGTTTCCAAATCTCTTCTCATATCATTCCTCTCATTACCTCTTGCTCTGTTATTTGTTGAATCGAATTTGGTGCCGCAGGTATATGATGGCAAGTGATGGGATCAAAAAGCGTAATACTGTCCACGAGGTGTTATTTACATTATATCACTTTAAACCTGTTTTTTTTTAGTTTATCTACCAGTTTGGCAAAATTTGAGTGAATATCTGATAGGTGACGTCTTCCTTGACCGGGGAAGTTGTAGTTGAAGATGTGGTTTATGAAAGCACTCCTAGTAATCCCGGAGGCTTATCTCCTTCTGCTGATTTGGCATTTAGGCGGCTTGTATTCAAAAGAACCGAGTATTTGATACAGTCTGAAGCTTTACTTGTAGAGGATGGTGAGATTATTGATCAATCTCAGAAAGAGAAAACTAACAATGCCTCTCAATCAAAACGGAAGGGAAATAAAAAACACAACCAAGGTAAGAAGTCTTACTTTTTTAAGTGTTGTGATACAGACAATGCCGTGAAAATTTCATGCTCTTTTGTTTGCTTGTATACTCTTCAGAATCGAGCGGACCTGTTATGAAGGTCTCTCATGATTACTTGGCTAGCTCTTACCACGCTGGAATTATTTCCGGATTCTCATTGGTATCTTCCTACCTGAAGAAGGCTGAATCGAGTGGAAAGATGGTAAGCGTTATCCATTGTGGCAACATTGTTTCTAGTAGACTTCATGGTGCAACAGAGCTAAATTATTTTATCTTTTTTCCTTGTACTGATCCTGCAATGTTTCTGATACTTTTCAGGTTAAGACTGTTATAATTGGTCTAGGAGCTGGATTACTTCCCATGTTCCTCCATGGATGCTTGCCATTTTTCAATATCGAGGTAGTTTCATTTTCAAAATGGTTATTTGAGTTGAAGTCTTTTCGATTTCCACTTACATGATGATACCTCGTTGAACAGGCGGTTGAACTTGACCCAGTAATGCTTGACGTTGGCAAGGATTACTTTGGTTTCACACAAAATGATCGTTTGAAGGTAAACCCCTTCTCTTTCCATATCCTCATCATGTTTTTAGTCAATTTATCATCACTCAACCTCTTATAATAGGTGCATATTGCTGATGGGATCAAATACATTAGAGATATAACAAACTCTGAATCTTCTTCCGAGAAAACGTCGGATGCTGTCTCTGAAACACAGTCGACTAGTTCCAATAATGCAGAAGGCGGCACTTGTCCTGACATCTTAATTATAGATGTGGATTCAGCAGATTCGAGGTATGCACCAGGCCAACAAAATTACATTTATATGATTTTTTTTTCTAAAATGAAAGTACACTGATCCGGCTGTTTTTTTTCGTGTATGGTTTCTGTTTGCAGCGGTGGATTAACCTGTCCTGCATCTGAGTTTGTTGAAGAGACATTTCTTCTCTCGGTTAAGCGTGCTCTCCCTCAGCACGGTCTTTTCGTTGTGAACTTGGTCTCTAGGTCACAATCTGTCAAAGATATGGTTGTATCAAGAATGAAAAAGGTAAGAAAGTGATTCTTACCTTGTGAAATCTCTGCTGCGTATTTTCACTGACCTGATCTGAAACTAGCCACGTGAATCTACTTATTGTTACACACTAGTATTGAGTTTTGAGTCTTCTATTTGTAACTAATCTCTTTTGTTTTGTGTGTTCTATCAAGGTTTTCGATCACTTGTTCAGCCTGCAACTAGAAGAGGAAGATGACGTAAACGTGGTGCTCTTTGGGCTTTGCTCTGAATCTGTAATTGGAGAGAGTGACATTCCAGAATCTGCTGTTATACTAGAGGGATTGCTCAAGTGCCAGAGATTGGAAACGAAGCAAAGCATCATCGACGCTACAAACAAGTTGAAATGCTGGAAATGAATCAACAAGTAGTCTTTAGCTATTTTATAATGGATTGTTCCATGTTTTAAAGTGACAAAGTTATACGTTATGATTTGAAGTTTTTTTGTTTTTTTTTGAAATTACTAAAGATCATAAGTTTTGTTTTATAATAGTTTCTTCCTCAAACGCAAGTGAAAAATGAAGCGTGGGGTTTTGGTTTAACATTTCACTTTATTGTTGGACCAACCCACATATTGTGGCATTCAATTTAGATGATAGTGATGTTCAAATGTGTAAGTTAAGACATCTATACATGTTTTGATTTATTGTTGCATTTTGTTAACAATCCCTATCGTTGATAATGAAAGGTACCAACGATCACGCATTGTTGCATAACCAAATGGTTCGAACGGTGATGTTATGATTGGATCGGCGCATGCAAACACATTTGGTCTATCAATTTTTTTAATAAATATTTTGGTTTAGTTTTTACATATCATGTTGTGCGTGCACAAGATAGTTTACTTGTAAATATGTAAACTAAATGAATAATAATCTGGCCGCCGCGAAAGACAAGAAAAATAGAGACAAAGAAACAAATTCTGAAACCGCGTGGGTCCTAACGACCACACTTGTAATAAGTTGTAATATTTTGCATGCAAGATATATATACTGTAACATTTTTTATTTTTATTTTTTTTTTTTGTACTGTAACATAATGCAAGATATATTGTTGTTAGGTCACATGTTTATATATACAAAGAGAGAGAGATCCCAATGAAAAAATATAATTAACTAGTTATCATTGTTGACATAGTATTAAACATTTAATTCGGACAGAAACTAGAAGCCAGCAAAAATCTAAGGTCACCTATCTCTTTTTTTCTTTTTTCTGCTGGAACAGTTATAAGAAGAGATTTAAATTAACTTTTCAGGTTCACTTTAAGTTCGATATTATGCTATTTATATGTTCATAATGATCAGAACCTATTTCAAGCTGATACAAACTCGATATTCGTTTATCACAGTTTAGGTTCTAGTTAGGTTGAATTGTTTATCAATAATTTACTAGAGAGAAAAACAAAAGACAGTTCATATTTATATTAAAAATTGTGAAACTGTATAGCATTGACGGTGTCTGTGTGAATGTACTCAGATATCAACCGAAAGGTACAATGCATTTAACCTCTCTCGTAGAAAATTCCAAGCATAAAGTTGAAAAGGAAGAGACAGATGTAGCAGAGTTGGTCAAAATCTTTTTGACAAATCTATATAAAAAACAATCAAATGTCACTTTCAAAATAATTACTAGTGTTTTGTGTTATTATAATGAAAATAAAATGAAAGCGACATCAATCTGGGACTGGGGTAAAAGGACCCCCCTGCTCTCTTCATTGGTTGGGTTGTACATTAGCTGTCAAATTATCACATTTCAATATACATTCGTTAACTCCAAATATATACATTTAGATGGTATGGTACAACCACATTCTTGGAGTTACTTACCAATCACTATTGTAAATCATCAAGATAAAAATTACTGAGTTGCTACATTACATGTATTATGATGTCAGGAGTTACTGCCTATATATTTACATTGTATCTTCACTAAAACGATATAATTTACATTTTAACTGGAACATAGTTGTAAATTTATATCTATATAGCTATTTTCCTAATAATTCATGTGAAATATGTACATTTGTCTCACAAGAAAATCTGGATTTAATGAGAATTAAATGAACAAAATGACGAAAGGAAAGAAACAAAATAAAGAAAAAGACATGAAACGTAGTCCCCCCTCTTCTCTTTGCTTTCTTCTGTACACAAACAAAGTTCTCTCTCTCTCATGACCCTTTAGGTTAACGGCGTTTTCATCAAACCTCTGGTTTCTGCGTCACCGTAGAAGCTCGAGTTTTCATCAAAGAATCGTGGACTTTCTGTTCAATCAAAAGCTTGTTTATGCTTTGGTTTATACACAGAAAAAAAGGTGACAAAAAACACTTGGAAGCTTAGAAGAATAAAAGTTTCAGAGTTTTTCAAGTTGTTGTTGGTTAGTGGGCTGTTTTCTAGCAAATGCTGAGTCTCTTCTCTCTCTGTACGTTCTTTGATATCTTCTTCCCATTCATTTCCTCTGTTCTCTTCCACATTTTGTTATTGTTTATCAGCTTAAGCTATCTAAAGACTAATACTTAATCATATTGAGAAAGATGGATTAAAGATTTTTTTCTTCTCATTTTTTGTTGTTGTTGTTGGTGTTATCATCTTCTTGTAGGGTTCGCTTAGCTTTAAATCTTGATTGATTAACAATATGTATTTTCTATGATTGTGCATATACAATGTATTGTCTCTGTATGGAAGCAAAGTATGATATCATATTTTAAACTTCTATGATTGGGCTACTAAAGTTACAAATAATGTACTTCAAGCTGATAAGATCTTAAGGGCTTAACCTCTGACAATTATCTACCATTCTTTGACTTTGGCAACTAATTTTATAATCCAAAGCCGTGTCTTCAAGTGTATTGGTTACTCCAAACACTTTTGTAGTTCAAATTTCATTTTTAAAATTTGCAACCAAGTCACCAGTTTGTTTGTCTGTCTGAGGCTGAGGGTACCTTAAAAAGCAAATTGTCTTTGAGCTGTAATGTTATGTTTGTTCAGCTGCAACTTGCTTTTCTAGATGAGCCATGGTATTAGCTGCTCCCAACTTAGTCGTTATAAAAGGGCATCAAGTTAACGACCGATCTTTTTGTTTTGTTTGGTGTCTAAGGAATGGAATACTCTAGAGACTCTGCAGGGATGATGATGGAGAATAAGCGCAGTGTCTGCTCTCTTGAAGAAAGCAGCATTAAACGACACAAGTCTGATCTCTCTTTCTCTTCCAAGGTCTTATGATGATTATACTCTCCATCTTCATAGTAATGACCTCATCACATTCGTGGACTAACATGCTAATGAACTGTGTGTGGTTTAACAGGAGAGGAAAGCTAAGGTGGGAGAACGTATCTCAGCTCTTCAACAGCTAGTTTCCCCTTATGGAAAGGTACTAATTTTACTTTGCAAGCAACATATATGATCTCTTTTACATGATCAAGTCCCTCTTTCTCTGTCTGCAGACCGACACAGCATCAGTTCTTCTAGAGGCAATGCAATACATTCAGTTTCTTCAAGAACAAGTCAAGGTCCGCTCTGTTTCCTTCATTGTTTCGAATCCAAACATGCTGCATTTGATTTTGTTTCACTTCCAAGTTCCAATAATGACTATTTTCTCAATTGTATGTACAGGTTCTAAGCGCTCCATATCTTCAAACAACGCCCATTACTACACACGTGAGCAGAATATTGATTCCTTTCTTTTACTAGGATTGCTATTGAAAAAACCTGTTGATATGGAACTCAACATCTCTTGCTTGTTTCTGTAAACAGGACGAGGAGCCGGAGGAGTACAGTTTGAGAAGCAGAGGGTTATGTCTTGTTCCAAGGGAGTACACAGTAGGTGTTGCTCAAACCAATGGTGCTGATATTTGGGCTCCTGTAAAGACTCCAACTTTCAGTCTCCAATCTAATTCACCCGTCTGATTATTTGACTCCACCCTCCACTGCTAAAATCCTCTGTCTGTCTCAAGAAAAATGAAAGATAGCAAAGCACATGTTACTAGTCTGATGATGATGTCTTTGTAACATATATATATATACTGTCGTGAATACCCATGAAGTTGTCTCATAGTCAGCGATGTCTGTTTCTGTTATTCTTATCTCTTACAGCTTAATCTCTCAACTGTGTAATGGCTTGTATGCATTACTTGGATCAGTATAAGTGGTCTAAATTTATAGTGATGATTCTATTGAAAAGTTCAAGTTCTAGGGGAATCATTTTGAGTTCCAGACTAAATTAAGCAGAGAGCTAGACCAGAAAACCTTAAATCCTCGCCCTTGTTATCCGAACCGGTCAATGACGGATATAGCGTCCGGTTTACATCGGTTAGTGAAGCCAAGTATTTGTGCGATTGAAGACCGGTTTATTAAAAGCCCGGTCTAAATCAAAATCAAACCCGTTCTGTTGCGGCTTACCGCTCTCTTAAAGAGCAGCTGCAGCTAAAACCCTAAGCCCTAAAATCATCATCATCAGAGAGAGAGAGAAAGAGATTAGGATCGATCGACGATGGATCACATAGCTGCGGCGGAGGAGGAGCAAATCGTATCGGAGAGGCTAAGAAGAAAGCTTGAAGAAGTAAATGTAGCAGCTCAGTCTCAGCTTTCTCCTATCCAAGATCACATCAATTTCACCCTCCAGGTATCTTTCATTCACAGCTTTACTGGGTTTGATTCAATCTCTCTTCTTCAAACGGAAAGTAAGTAACTTTTGCAATGTTAGAAAGGAATCTCTCAGTTGCTAGTTTTCGTGGAAAATAAGTAACTTTAGTTAAATAACGATTTGATTAGAGAATATAGATCAAAAATTAAATGACAATATATATCTGAAAACTTGAGTTTACATGAATATGCATTTCATTGTGAATTTCAGAAAACCCTGTTTCATTGTTGCAGCAAGCTTATTTTAAGTGTGCATATGAGTGCTTTGACAGAAGAAGAAATCAAGAGGAGATAAGTAACTGCGTTGAGCACTGCAGTGTCCCTGTTGTTAAATCTCAGCAGCATTTCGAGAATGAAATGGCTCAGTTTCAGGTAGTATAATCCACTCTATAAAGGAGATGCATAGAAGATGATAAGTGAACTGATGATTCTTGCATTTCTGTTGTATATAGGAAAGACTGAACAGATCATTGGTGGTGTGTCAAGACAAATTTGAGGCTGCGAAGCTCCAGAAGATAAGACCTGAAGCGGTTAACGAGATGGAGGGTTGCGTTCACAAAGCCATTGAAGAGAACCTCAACACATTACCACACATTGTGCAGAGAATGAAGACAGCGTTTAACATAGCCAACTAAAAGCTCCAACATTTTCAAACCCGGAGAAAAAAATTTCAGAACAGTGGACTCCAAGACCTGTGTTGGCCATTAGATGAATATTGCAGACTTAAGACCTTTTGTGTTGTCTTATTTATAAATTTTATTTATACGAGTCCTTATATAAAGAGCTTGATTAGGTTCACATTTGGCACTGGATTGATATATGTTTTGATTTGGTTTGTTCTTTCCGGCCTTGAATCGCATCAGAACTACAGAGTTAAGTCAAATTAGAAAGTATATCCAACGTCAGTCACATTTATCAAATAAGTTACCCTCAAGCCTTCTTAACAACACAACTACAGTTTCAAACCAAGCTATACAGCCAATCTGACTCTCATACATGTACTGGCCCGCAAACTACAAGATCAGATTTACAAATTACATACACCTAAGTCAAATATTGTAGCTATAGCCGGACGCAAATTAGTGGGTTACCAAGTAACATAAGTGTGACAGGTGAAGAAGAGTTGACAAATATAATCTAGAACAACAAATTCTACATAATGCATGAACAATTTAAACGTGAGGAAGGTGGTATTTATCAAGAAAACATGAAAACCATGGTAGACTGAGAATATCCATTACGATAACTAAAAGGTTATAGCAAAACACAAAGTAATGGGCAAGATAGGAGCGCTCTAAGACAATAACGTACGAGCCAGCATCTATTACAAAGTCCTAAAACAGCTACATAAGCTTCACGTCTTCTACATGGTTCAGAAATATGTGAACTCTAAAAACCTTCTCAAACGCTCCCATTCCTTGGATATCAACTCTTGTTATAGATTCCTTGACGAAATTGTAGTAGTAAACATGGAAAGGGTCGGATGGAAAGACCAGAGAAATAACAAATTCATTTGTATCAGTCGCTCCAACAACGTATAATATCTCCCCTTCTGCAACAACATCCTTCCACATAGGTGATAAGTTGAAAATACGCTTGGACCATTCATGTTTTTCAGGGTCTTCTAGACTCCACATCTCAAAACTTGTAACATTGTCACTAAGATAATCGACCATTAGGGTCCTTACTGCAGCCAACTTACCTTGGAAGTTTATCAGAGTTGCAGGAAGCATTTCTCTTTCCATTAATTTAACAAAGCTGAACTTGTCAGATCTGACGTCAAAGCAAACTATCATATCAAAGCTAGAAGCGCTAGCAGTGTAATACAAAACACCACTGATGCATACAGAGCCCGGCCTCGGGAGATGATGTGCTGGTATGTCACATTCAATCAATCTCCATCTCATGTTTCCATCTCCTCTCACTGTAAGAACTTGATGGTCCACAACAGTCTTACCTAGCATGCTGGTCATTTCCAATACCTTGTGCTGCTTCTCAACAGGATCATACCCTAAAAAGCTTCTCATCCTATTCCTATTCCTTGTCTTCATTTTGGGTAAAGTAAAAGATTGTCTCGTGCTAGGGTTAAATATCACCCATACAAGCTCTCTGGTTTTCCTTTTTTTTTAAGATACGTTCATCTTTAATACATACAAAGCCATTAACAGGACAAGATATACCATAGAGACGATCAATGGGAAAAGTCATATGATGATCGATGGATATAGAAGACACCTTCTCAACACTAAATGCTTAGAGACTATAGATCAAATTTTTAAGACTGGATCATGAGCTCAAGGAGTGTTAAGTGGCTAGAGCAGAAAATAAGGCACAAATAGCACTCATATGCACATTTCATAGAGACTATAGATCAAATTTTTCTCATGAGCTCAAGGAGTATTTATTTTCTCATGATATGACTTAGAGACTATAGATCAAATTTTTCATGAAATTATCTGAAAATTGAGTTACATGAATCAAAACTCAATTTTCATTGTTGTGCAGCAAGCTTATTTGAAATGTGCATATGAGTGCTTTGACAGAAGAAGAAATCAGGAGGAGATAAGTAACTGCGTCGAGCACTGCAGTGTCCCAGTTGTCAAATCTCTGCAGCATTTTGAGAAGGAAATGGCTAAGTTTCAGGTAGTATATATCCCCTCTATAAAGTGCTTATAAAAGATGATGATGAACTGAAAATTCTTGCATCTCTATTGTACAAAGAAAGACTGAACAGATCATTGGTGGTATGTCAAGACAAATTTGAGGCTGCGAAGCTCCAGAAGATAAGGCCTGAAGCGGTTAATGAGATGGAGGGTTGCGTGCACAAAGCCATTGAAGAGAATCTCAACACATTACCACACATTGTTGAGAGAATGAAGACAGCATTTAACATAGCCAACTAAAAGCTCCAACACTTTTCCACCCGGAGAATATCTTGGACTCCAGGACCTGAGTTGGCAGTTAGGTGAAAATATTACAGACTTCAAAGACCTTTTGTGTTGTCTTATTATACGATTTATAAATTTTGATTTATATATAAAGAGCTTGATAGGTTTTTACATTTGGCACTGAATTGATAACTGTTTTGATTTGGATTGTTCTTTCGGGCCTTGAATCGCATCACAACAGAGTTAAGTCAAATTAGAAAGTATATACAACGTCAGTCACATGTATCCAAAAAAGACACCCTCAAGCCTCTTACCAACACAATTATAGTTTCAAACCAAGCTATACAGTCAATCTGACTCTGTCACGTACTGGCCGTAAACTACAAGATCATATTTACAAAGTATAACAGCTTAGATAGGTTCCAATTATAATGCGCCAATGTACATATACCTAACTCCAATAACAATTTGTAGCTATAATTTAGAAGAACAAATTCTCCAGTGCATGAACCACTTAAAAAAAGAGGAATATGGTATCTATCAAGAAAACATGAAAACCATGGTAGAAAACTGAGAATATTCATTACGATAACTAAAAAGTTATAACAAACACACAAGTAATGGGCATGATAGGAGCGCTCTAAGACAATAAAACTTAAGATGCAGCATCTATTACAAAGTCCTAAAACAGCTACATAAGCTTCACGTCCTCAACATGGTTCAGAAATATGTGAAATCTAGAAACCTTCTCAAACGCTCCCATTCCCTGGATTTCAACTCTTGTTACAGTTTCCTTGACGAAATTGTAGCAGTAAACATGGGAAAGGTCAGATGGAGATAACAGTAAAATAACAAATTCATTTGTAGCAGTCGCTCCAACAACGTACAAGTCCTCCCCTGCTGCAACAACATCCTTCCACATAGGAGGTAAGTTGAAAATACACTTGGACCATTCATGTTTTTCAGGGTCTTGTAAAATCCACATCTCTAAACTTGTACTTGTTCACTAAGATAATCGAGCATTGGGGAGCTTAATGAAGGCAATTTACCTTGGAAGTTTAACAGAGTTGCAGGAAGCATTTCTCTTTCCATGATATTAACAAAGCTGAACTTGTCAGATCTGACCGTCAAAGCAAACTATCATATAATGATCATATTCCTCTGATAGATTTACAATAGTTAGATGAACCTGAAGCTCTAACTGTCTTTCTTAACGTGCAGGAGGGAGTAACCAACGACCCTGATCATATAGTGAAGCAACCGTGGCAGTCTTGGGAATACCAAACCTTGAAGTTGAGGCACCGAGATAGTTATAGAGATTGCCCAACGAAGACCAGTTATCAAACCAAAAGCTTGTAGACTCTCCATTACCTATCATTCTTCTTAGTAGCGGGTAAATAAGAGTCCTTGACTTGATCATTTTGTTAACTAACCAAGAGAAAGAAGAACTAGTGTTGAAGCTTAATATAGTTCTCCAATGGTTTTGTTCTCTCTCCTCCTGTCTGCTTATTCTAAGGAACTTGAACTTCAGATAATTTTAATTATAGAACTCAAAGAGAACATACGTTCCTGCTCAGTGATTGCTACACTGCTCACTATATATAATAACCGTATGATGTTGATGCCGGCATGGTTATATAGCAGGAGTAGATGGCCCAAGAGTCAGAGCTAACCGGTAAAGGAGACATTTCTGGTTCTAGAGGGAATCAAACTTTCTTATTTTCATGACTTTGTGAAGTCAAATCAGGACTCTCGTATCTATTGAAACTAGATGTCTCTTCACATGATTTACTTGGACAAGTCTCCTTGTTGCTTTCAGGTAAACGCAAAGAAGGCTTTGCAGAACTTGCTCTAACGTATTTATTTTCTCAGAAAGCAATCGGAGTCCACATTTTTGTTGTCAAAGAGCAGGCTGCAGCTTATCTCTGAGAAACAGGCAGGGGCCATGAGAGATCTAATCCGCAAAGGAATCAATGATGTCCTCAAGAATCTGATACAGAGAAACTGTATGATGATCGATAAATCTGAATAGATGTTCAAACAAACATGTAAACGGTAGCTCAAGTGCAAAAGGTTACGATTGAAGAAGAACCTTTCCCAACATTGAACCAAATTCAATTACAGAGAGATTCTTGAAAGAATCCTAAAAGAAAGAAGATGAAGTTTTCAACAATATTTTTCTTGGTTGAATGAAAAAGAAACAGTAAACTCTGTTTTATAGAATTTTCAGTTGCTCTCTTCCTTAGCTGACGTGTCTCAATTATAGCATTCCCTGTATCAGAATCCTTCAGTTTAACAACAAACAACACAACTACATGTTTCAGAGCAAGCTATACAGCCACAATCTGAGTTTATCATACATGTTTTGGCTCGTAGACAGATTAAAAAAGGATGACAACAACTCAAATAGAGTCCAACTATGATGTGCCAATGTTACCAATATATATAGCTATAGTTATAGTTTAAAAACATAATTTAGAACCTAAGTGAAAAGAAAAGTTATAACACCACAAAATCAAAATCAGTGGAAAGAAAAAGGGCTTTCATTTTAAGATCCTCAAAGATGAGAATCTAAAACAATTACATAAGCTTTACGTCTTCCACATGGTTCAGATAAGTGAGAACTACAGAATCCATCTCAAACGCTTCCATTCCTTGGATTTCAACTCTTGTTATAGATTCCTTGACGAAATTGTAGTAGTAGACATGGAAAGGGTTGGATGGAAAGACCGGTGAAATAACAAATTCATTTGTATCAGTCGCTCCAACAATATACAAGTCCTCCCCTGCTGCAACAACATCCTTCCAAGTAGGAGGTAAGTTGAAAATACGCTTGGACCATTCATGTTTTTCAGGGTCTTCTAGAATCCACACCTCAAAAGTTGCACTTGTTTCACCAAGATAAAAGGGGACCGGTTGCACCGTTAGTGAAGCCAACTTACCTTGGAAGTTTACAAGAGTTGCATAAAACAAACCTGTTTCCATGGGTTTAACAAAGCTGAACTTCTCATATCTGACATCAAAGCACACTATCATATCATCATCACCATTGGAAGCCTTAGCAATGTAATACAGAAGACCATTGATGCATATGTTTCTTGGCCCAGGAAAAGAATGTTGTATGCCACCACATTCAGTCATTCTCCATGTCATGTTCCCATTATTTCCTCTTACTGTAAGAACTTGATGCACCACAGCTCCATCCTCTTCTTTGATCATTGCCAATACTTTATGTTGCTTGTCAATCGGATCATACCCTAAAAAGCTTCTCATTAAAGTCACCTTCCTTGTAGTATTCAATTTGGGTAAATCAAGACACTGTCCCGTGCTAGGGTTGCATATCACATACACAACCTCTTTCGTATCCCTTCCTTCAGACATCCTATAATCACTTATACAAACATATCCATTGACACAACAACTAGATACTTCCTGAACGATTTCAAAGGGCACAACCATATGATGATCCACAGTAGCTATAAGAGGCAAACTCTTATTAGGATTTTGAGGCTGAGATGGTGAAAAGATCACCTCATTCTCTTCCTGGCTGACGAACAATAGCTTAGGGCGAGCCAACGATTTGGCCATGAATAACTCCGTGAAATCTGGACGGCGAAGTACGGATGACCACTGCTTCGATACGCAACGGCTTCTCGCAATAGATTTCAGCGGCAACCTCGAGAATATCTCGATGATGAGCTCGATTGGAATATTCGATAGTAATTCGTCATCACTAGGTCGTGAGCTGCGTCGACGGATGGTTTGGGGATCATCGGAGACGTTTCGTCGCGGTGAATTCATGGCGGAGAGAGACCCTAGATGGGGTAGGGAAATGGAGATGTTAAACAAATGAAACGACACCAATGAAACTGCATATCGTTATTATATTAAAAACAAAACAGCGTAGCGTCCCTAAACTATTCAAATGATATAAAATTAGACTGCATGTCGTTTTTATAATTAAAAACAGCGTGGCGTTCGTCACTGTTCTCTCCTTTTTTTTATGTCATTTTTGGAACACTGACAGTTCTCATCCATGGTTTTCTATATTGCTCCAATGTGTTTTGTCTCTCCTTCCGTCTGCACTGCTTATTCTGAGGAGTAAGGACTAAGGAACATAAAATTGAGAGCTCTGTGTAACATACCTAAGTCCAATATCCAAAGCAAGACAATTTAATGGATCATAAAATAAGACAGGTTGACAAAAAAGAGTTTCAGAAACATAATCTAGAACAATCATTTGCTCCATAACCACTGAAACAAGAGGATATATGGGTATATAATAGAGAATATTCATTCTGACAACCAAAAAGTTATAACGACACACACAGAAGAAGCACTGTAAAAGAGAAGGAGATCTCATTAAGATTGCCTGAGGCGGTCCAATACATTCAGTTTCTTCAAGAACAAGTGAAGGTCTGATCTGTTTCCTTCATTGTTTTGGATCTAAAACATGCTTCATTTGGTCATTTGTTCCTCTCCCAATCCAACAATGACTTTATTCTCAATTGCCTGTACAGGTTCTAAGCGCTCCACAATTTCATTTGTAGTAGTCACTCCTCTAAAGAACAAGACAGCGTCTGCAACTACATCATTCCAAGTAGTAGGTAATTGGAAAACATGGTTGGACCATTCATGTTTTTCATGGTCTTCTAGAATCCACAACTCAAAACTTGTACGTCTTCCACTAGTAGCATAGGGGTCCGGGTGCGTCAGTATAGCCAACTTACCTTTGTAGTTTACCAGAGTTCGAGGAGGGAATAAACTTTTCATGTCTTTCACGAAGCTATACTTCTCAGATTTAACATCAAAGCAAACTATCATATACTCACCATTGGACACCTTAGCAATGTAATATAAAACACCATTGATGTATACATATTCTGGCCGCGGAAAAGAATGTTGTATGCCACATTCAATCAATCTCCATGTCAAGTTCCTATTTCCTCTTAATGTAAGAACTTGATGCTGCTCAGCTCCATCCTGCCGCCACATTATTGCCAATACCTTGTGCT